TAACATACAGGTTTGTAAAAATATTTGCATCCCTGTGTACTAGTTAGGTGCGTCCACCACTTTTGAAAACATTACCTCTGAAGTCCCAATGACTTTTTTAATGAGTCTTGGTCTCCTGTGACAGATTTATAAAAGTATTAGGTGTCTAAAGATGTAGACAGCTGCCTAGTGGGATTTTCAAAACCCTGTCTACAGCTTTAGACACCTCACACTTTTTCAATGGGAGTTAGACACCTAACTTAGGCACTTTTGAAAATATTATTTTAAAAATCCATCAGGATAAAAAACTAGCAAAGATTCTCTGTTCCACAATGCCCGAGTGCCTAATTATCAGCTTCTAAATTATAAATGATCAAAGCCGGGAATCCTTACTCAGGCAAAATTCCCATTGAAGTCATTATTTACTGAGGCCAATGTTCTAAGTTTTGTCTGAGTTAAGGATTGCAAGGTTTGGTCTACAAATAACACATGACCCACAAACACCCTGAAACCTGGGGGGATGCCTTTATCCAGAACCAAATCCCAAACTTCACGACTGGCTCCTTTCTCTACACCAGGATGAACCCAAAGCCTGAACTGAAACAACTTGATTTGGTTCTGAATTCTGCGGCTTGGACCCATTTCTACTCTGAGCAGAAACTCAACTGCAAACCTATATTTGCACCAGAATCCGATAATAACAAAGATTGTTACATCTGACCCCTTTCTCCTCTGCAGTGCAGTAGATAGTGAGGGAAAGGGACTGGATGTTATTTTATTGTCATTTTTGAACCTGTGCCTGGGTACTGCATATCAACAGCTACATAATCATACAAGAAAGTCTGAATGCCACGCTGCCTCTTGTTAGGTTTTTACTCTGTAGTAGAGTTAGTGATTTTCAGTGCACTGTACACTTAGGCACATTTTTAGTACTGCTAAAGTAAGGGCCTGTCAAAGGTAAAAAGTCCCTGCTCATTCTGGACACTGTAGTTTTGTAAAAATTACTCTGGGCCATTTGCTAGATTATATATCCACCCTCTAAACTACACTGCAGAGGAGGAGTCGGACAATGGGCAGTGGATTGATTGCTCTCTCTTTCTGATCACCCTAAAACATCTGTTGGCTTGATGACAGGCTGACCGTACTAAATCAAACACCTGTGTGCCAGATCTGCTCAGCACTATGTCCGTTGCTGATGACCGATTGCGAATGTTGCTGAGACAATACTGGTGCAACCCCAGCTAGTAATTTTGGGGTGAGATATATTGGTTTCACATTTTTGAAAGTGCCAAATGAGTCAGGTGACTCAGTCACTGCCTGGGTAATTTTCTGGTACTGTGGGCTACACAGGGAGATTGATAGTTGGATAGAAACCATCTGTCTCCACTTCTGTCACATTAAACCTGGTCCTGAGCTGCCATAAATCAGCATTGCTCCATTAAAGTCAAAGGAATGATGATTTACACCAGCTGAGCATCTGGCTCACGATATCTGTTCCTGTTGCCCATTTGCTGAATCCAGAAAAATCCGAATGAATAGAAGAGCTTCCCTTTCCTTGTCTCACTAAGAAATGAATGTGCCCTTTAAATAATGAGCTTTTTTTAAAATCAATCAATCAAGACAAAGTCTTTCAGCACTAGCTGCTGACAGTTCTAATCCGAACCTCACACTGGCATCAGTGGTGCTACTCTGGGTTCACACCGGCATAAAGGAGAGTGGAATTCAGTCCTCGCATTTCACACCATCAGGACATGTTACATGTGGCCACGTGCATTAGGATGAACTGGCTTAACCATGCTGTTCACCATAAAACTAACTCAGGGAACCAAATACTGGGAAGACCGAAACGGGTGCAAATATTAGTTTAAGAACAAACTGAACTATTCTGCAATATGTTTTGAATGCTCTTGGCCTTGTTTATTTTTAATCATATTTTTGTCATTTGTTTTTATTTTTGTTAACCAAAAAAAAAAAGGAAGTTGGTGGGAGGTGGGGGGGGAGTCTGTCCTGCCTGCTGAGTGATAAAATGTCATTTCTTCCACCCTCCCACCCCTCTCTTTCTCTTTGGCTGGAGATCACAGAACTCCAATGCCTTTGGCATTCGGTGTGCAGGAAAGTTTTTTCCAGCAGGAGCATCTGGCTCCCTGGCAGACGCCTCAGGCAGTTGTGCTGGCAGCATTGCAGCTTCCCCTTGGTCTGTCCTGTGGTCAGGCCACTGATGAGCTGCTGGAGCTGCCTTGATTTTTTGAGAAGCCATTTTCTTTACATTAACAGGGTGTATATATCACCCCCGTTCTCAGCATGGGACCGTGCCTACTCAGAGTCTGCTCCTACTGAAGTCAAGGGGAATTTAGCCATTGACTTCAGTGGGAACAGAATCAAGCCCTAATAAAGGTGAGATGGCTGGTAATATACATCAGGGGTCGGCAACGTTCGACACGCAGCTCGCCAGTTTTATTTACCTGCTGACGCGGCAGGTTCGGCCGATCGCGGCCCCCACTGGCCGCGGTTCGCCGTTCCAGGCCCATGGGGGGGGAGAGAAGAGGCGCGGGCGGGCGGTGGGCTCGGTGCGGCCCCTTTTCTGCCCC